ATGTTGATTGAGCCGGCTCAGTTGATGACAAGAGATCTACCATAGGCTATTGCACCTTTATTGGGGGGAATTTGGTAACTTGGAGAAATAAGAAACAAATAGTGGTTGCTAGGTCAAGTGTAGAAGCAGAATATAAGACCATGGCACATGGAGTTGCAGAAATTTTGTGGTTAAAGGAGTTGGGAGTTGAAGTTCGCAGTCCAATGTAATTGTGTTGTGACAACAAAGCAGCAATCAATATAGCCCACAATCCTGTGATGCATGAAAGAACAAAGCATATCGAAGTCGACAAACATTTCATTCATGAAAAACTTGAAGCTGGTGAAGTTTGCATTCCTTATGTAAATTCCATGGATTAGTTGGGTGACATCTGTACCAATCTTTAACAATTTTACCTGCTATTATTACTAAACTCTTTGCCCAAGCTCCTTTCTCCACATCTAACAGCAACTAATTGGAATTATTTATGAAGTAGGTTCTTTTGGTTTTCCTACCTTCATTATCCCCCTATTCATTTGAACTTCGCTTGTCTCTGTACTAATGCTCTACTTCTGCATTTTGTTTTCTTCCATCTTCAACAATAACTCCCATAACCTATCTACAAAGATTTTTCCACCATGTTCTCTCCCTACCCTCCGACGCACAAATCATTTGCCTCCTATTATCACCAAAAGCTTCCATTACTACAACAAATCACTATTTCACATTTCTCCTCATTTCAACTTCATATTTCTTTCCAGACAACCCCACTGAACTCTTCCATATTTTTTGATGGAATACACTACCCCATCCATAAAACCTTTCAGAAAACCAATCGCTTCCGCAACTACAAAGATGGTGGCTCTTTTCTCTTCTCTAATTCTCACAAACCACTTACCACTGTTTTTTCCTTCTTCAAATCCAAAATATTTTGGCTTCAATTTCCATCTCTCCCCTCCATCTCATTGAAAGTGATAATCCAACATCCTCCAAGGCCCCCATGGTGGTTTGGTTCACCTTCTCTATCCCCTTGTTTGTTAGTGTGTTTCTCTTCTGAGCACATAATCTATAAAATTCCAATTCTCTTATAAAATTCCATGTTAACAACTTCCTCGGGTCTACTCTCATCATACTTGGCACCACAAAGTCCAATCATCATATTAAACACTGGCTATAGGTATGGAACCAGATAAAGTACCTCAAATGTCATCAGACTCTCACAAGGCAAAACCTCATATCAATCATCCTTTGGGTATCTCTAAACCCATTTCTAGTGATATTGACCTTCCTATTGCTCTCCATAAGGGTTTAAGGTCTTGTACCAAACATCCTATTGCCCGCTCCACTTCCACTAATTTCATGTCCTTGCTTATCGCACTTTTATGTTTGTTATATGTAGTGTTTCTATTCCTAAAATTACCTTAATGGAAGAAAGCTATGTGTAAGGAGATCCATGCCCTTCATAAGAATCACACAAGGGATCTTGTTGACCTTCGAAAAGGAAAGAAACATGTAGGTTGTAAATGGGAATTTACTGTAAAACATTGGGCTAATGGCTCTATAGAGAGGTATAGGGCAAGGTTGGTGGGTAAGAAGTTCACTCAGATTCATGGCATAGATTACAATGAAACTTTTGCTCTGGCAGCTAAGACAAACTCCATATGGGTCCTCTTATTTCTAACTATTAATTTTTCAATGTCCTTTCATCAGCTAGATGTGAAGAACACCTTTCTAAATGGTGATCTAATTGAGGTGTATATGGTTCAACCACTAGGTTTCCAATTGCAAGGGAGTGGAGAAATGTTTGACATATGAAGAAATCTTTATATGGCCTAAAATAATCTTCTAGGGCATGGTTTAAGATATTCAACAAGGTAGTCCAATAGGTTGGTTTTATATAATGTCGGGCTGATCACATATTGCTTGTAAAGAGGAAGGAGATTTCATTGCTATTTTAATTGTTACATAGATGACATTATCATTATAAGGAATTGGGAGGAAGAAATTCAGAAGTTGAAAGAACTCCTAGCCTCACAATTTGAAGTTAAGGATCTTGGCCCTCTAAAATATTTTTTGGGTATTGAAGTTGTAAGGTTTGATAAAGAGATCCCTTTATCTCTCAAAGGAACTATGTACTTTACTTACTGAAGTGTAAACTAGCAAATACTCCTATGGACCTAAACCATAAGCTTAGAGGATGTGAGGGAGAGACATTATCAAATGTTTAATAGTAATAGAGACTTACTGGGAGGCTCCTATACCTTTCTATGACATGACCAGATATTGCATTTGTAGTGTCTTAAGCTAGTATATGCATTCATCAGAATTGTCTCATCTCAAGCATACAAAGAGAGTTCTTTCCTATTTGAAGAAACACCCTTGTAGGGACCTTTTTCACCAAACAAGGTCATATTATAGTGGAGGGAATCAATAGAGAACAATTTCTCTGCTACTTCATTTTGGCGGTGTGTGCGTGTGTGAAACAGCAATTGGGGACTCAACAGTGGGGGGATCATAGGGAATAATTCCGCTTCCACTGTAAGAGATTGTGATAAATTCTATGGGAGGAAGGTGGTGAATTCAAAGTTTTAGTCAAGACTCAAGAAGAAGAAGAAGAAGAAGAGAGGAAGAAGAAGAGTTTTTCGAAGAACTTAGGTGTGCTACTGTTCACACCCTGAAGAGCCTTTCTTAACATTTGAAGAAAATTAGAAATGGGCCCTTGGATAGGTGCCCAAATACAAAAAGGATGAAAGGACATAAATGCCCTTACATTCTCAACACTCCCCCTCAAGCTGAGCATAGATATTTGTCATGCCCAACTTGTTCAAATTGTTGTCAAGCTTTGATTTGGAGACACCTTTAGTAAGACAATCGGCCAACTGATCTTCAGAGGTGGGAGGTGGAATGAAGATAGCAACGATCAGGAGAAGGTTTTTGAAGGGGAAGATTAGGGCCTTGGTTCCAATAGGATTGTTGATGATCGTGCTGAAGTCTTCTTTTTATTTCAAGTATTGTTGGTGGAGTTTCAGAGTTAGTAGTCATGTTTTCTCTCAGGTGATATCTTATCACCTTCCTTGTGTAATCTTCTTTTTATTTTAATGAAATTTTTATTTTACTTTTCAAGTTATAAGTTATATTATATAATGTGTAATATATATATATATATATATATATACAAGTTATAACATATATTTTATACAAATATTATAAGTTATATAATATAAATCATTAAATATTAAATATATTTTCTTAAGTGACATGGGCCCAAAGCTCAACCTAGCCTAGCATAGGCCCAGGCTTCTATACAAGCTCAAGGTCCAAGTCAGGCCAAGCTTAGCCCTAGGCTATAGCCCTTTTCATAGGTGGTAAGCTTGGCCCAGTCCAACCCATTTAACTCTTATCCATTAGGAGTAATCATTTCTATCCTAGCCCACAAATTCCCAAGCTTGGGCCTGAGTTTTGTATTTAGGTCTGGCCCAACCTACAAATATATTTTATACATATATAATATATATTTATATAAATTAAAATTTATAATATTACACATATAATACTTTATATTTACAAAAATAATGACATTTTATACATATATAATATGTCATATAATATAAAGTATTAAATATATTAAATATAATGTGCGTAATTACATTGGCCAAAAGCCTGGCTTGTGCCTAGTTTGGCCCGACCCATGATCACCCCTAGGATCCATGTTCATAAGAGTTAGGCAAAAGTTTTAGTGCCAGCTGCCAACCTAACACAACCCTCCATTCAAGCGTGGAACTAACATTGTAAGACAAGCACACATTGGTAGAGTTCTTCAAAGAGAGTTTCTTGTAGAAATTCACGAACCTATTGCACTAACCTCTGTTTCCTCCATTCAAGATGAGCTCACCCATATTTTTCTGTTGTAATTTGCTTTTTTCTATATCTAACAATAGTGTGGTAAACTTTGAGATTTTTCTTGTTTCCAACCTATTAGCTCATGACTTTTGACTAGGATGATTTCCTATCTAATTGTCGTTCCAGTCCATTCTTCTCCAAGAGGCTAGTTAGAGAGAATTCTAAAATCTGGTTCACCTTTTCTTCTATTAATTTAAACCAAAAGAAAATATTCTTTATGGATGTGTATGATTTACATGTTTTTCCTACACATATCCATGCAAATTCATGATATGCATCTTAGGTTGACTTACTGATTTAGTTATATACAGAGATATCATTAATCCTTGGTATGTAACTTTATGATTCTATGTCCTAAAGACTAGAAGCATTAGTCTATCATCCACACTCTATTTTCCTTCCTTCAGTAACTTGTCTCTAAGGCCCCGTTCGCTTTTCAGTAAGTTACTTACCCGGGTAAGTGTTTCCCAAGAAAGACTTTCCCGGGTAAGTGCATTTACCCATGTTCTTTTATTTCCCATGTAAATAAGCCAATGACCATTTTAGCCATAAAATTCATTATTAAAAAGGGCATTTTTGTCCCATTCAAGTGTTGGCAATTTCCCCCCAGGTGAGAAAGTTATTTACCCACCTAGGAGATAAGTGATACCCAGGAAAATAAGCTTTCCCTGGTCCCCACATAAATCTGAAAAAAGAACATGGGATTCAATGTCAAAGGGAATCAAAACCCCATTGACCAACTTTCCCCTCTCTCAAAATCCAGAAAAAGAACGCCCCCGAATTGAATCATGATTACACAAAAAAATTTATAGATATAGTATGCTATTTCTTGTTTCACTAGTGGATCTCAATAGTGTTAAGGGATATCATCAGCAAGTGATGACTCTTAAAGAATTTACGATATGTAAATACAAAAAATATGGTAAAGAAGAAACAGTCTCATCTGGTTATGAAAAATCAAGTTATGCTTTTGTACAAAATTGGATGATAAGGAGAAAATTGGAACATGTATCAATGATTATTAATGGTAGAAGAGGTATGCTCATCATGATAGAATGAGAAAATAAAGATAAACATCATGAATAATGGAAAATAATTTGTGCACAAAAATAAAATGTTACCTGACATCTTCATATGTGCTAAATGGATAAGTACCATGAACACAAGTTAAAACAAACTGTGTTGAGAGCCCAGGTGGAATCATGATCTGTAAAATCAGAAAGAAACATCATGCCAGGTTTCTCTTTAATGTCAGAAGAAGAGATTTTCTCTTTTAATTGTATTTTAAATGGATTTTCTCAAAAAAATCTGTTGATCTTTGACCTGGAGTTCTACACTAAAACCAAACGAAGATGATTTGCATTCCTATGGGTTTTTACTCAATGTATGGAGATAATTTATTTATCTACTTCCTTTCGACTAGCAAAATTTATTTAATTACTTAAATTTTTCTTTCTTTCCAAGTGTAAAGATGCCTACCTATACGCTGAATGTCATACTTGACATTATCAAATATATATCAACATTTCTCCATTTATTTTAAAGGAGGATTATTCATTTTGACACTCTTTTTTCTGTAAGGCTATGTTTGCTTTGATAGAAAATAAGGGAGAAACAGAAAGTTGAAGGAAAGTCATTAAGGAATTTTGCGAAGTTTTCTTTTCTTTTTTTTGTAAAACACAGACTAGATTCATTTTTTTTACATCTTTTATTTCTTCTAGAATAATGGTGCAAAAGTATCATCTGTGCTGAATGGCTGCGGCCAACACTGCAGAGCCTCCATAACTTGGTCAGGAACAATATGAATTAGTGAGTAATTGCTTTTTGGAGAAGGATCTTTTCACTCTGATGCACTCTATCTTTATCTAAGTTCATTTTCTCTGTCTTATTTTAGGCCACTTTCTTAAAAGTCTCATCTAGGCCATATTATTACAGCTAACAATTGTACGGCCATAATACTTGTGTACATACAATAGGGTAGGATATTAGGTAAATTTCATTACTATTGGTTCTAAAAAAATTTCTGTTTTTTAATGGGTTCTATACCATCTTTTATGAAACTCTTAAGAAAAAGAAAATTTTGATGTACTTGGGTAAATGCTTTTGATTTAGTATTCTAGGGATTTTGGGCTATTACTGCTCAATGTACTTACAAATTTGGTTTAATGAGATTTCCTGGGATATGGGGAGTTTTGCGTTGGTTCCTCTCCACTATGTTTACTCCTCACCCGTACAGGCTTGTTGACAAATGCCTCTGATGCTTCCTAGTTAAGTTAGATGCAGATTGGTGACCAATGCCTTTTCTGGGATTGTTCTGGATGATCTGAGTTCTGAAAAATATGCATTAATATTTCATAGTGGTTACATGAAACTCACAAATAAGCAGAGAACTTACAGATAAGTCAGCAGAGTATTTCTCCTCAATAAACACATCTGCTGTCCCATTGATCTTAATTTGGAAGCTTGAACGTTTCAGAATGAATGTTGATGGTTTCCAGTCATTAGTAGAATCATTCTGTTGAGGATGCCATGTAGATAGTACATTTAAGGATACATGAAAAGAAGGCTAGGACACTACATTTTTTCATCATCAAAGTAGAGTTGTACTAAAGCAGAACAAATGCAAAGAGGATAAAAAAACATGGGATCTAAAGGACATGAAAGCTTTCAAATAAAAGAAACATAAATGAAAAGCAATTTGAGAATAAATTCTAAGATGCAATTAAACTATCCTCATTGTAAAGCTAAAGCAATTCAAATTCAAGAAGTCAATGAGGAGAGTATCGGTGTTTTATAAACTTGGGATCTCTTACTTCTACTTAGTTTCTTGGTCCTCACTTACTCCATTAAAGGCCTAAGGGACTAAAAAGCTTCAGGAGCATTTCTGTTACTTTCAGGGGGTTTATTGTTAAGCTATTGGTTTACCATATTAGGAAATAGGAAGTACATAATCTTCTCAGAAGGTGAAAATAAGTATCAAACAACCTCCTCTCAATAACCAAGTCCCAGGTCCATTGAGTCTTGCATACTAGTTTATTAACTGTTTGGAGTCGGTAAATACAAAATGTATTTCAAAATCTATATCCAAATCTATATTCCCTGGTAACCATCTCATTCAAAACTACTGATTGGTGGAGACTTCAAAATAGACCCATGAAGTATAGCTTGCTGACTTAGGTTTTTGACTCAGCACCACAAGGTTGGACTTGCAAATCAGGTTTTATGGGATAGTGGTCTGATAGAAGAAGTCAAAGGTTTTGGAGGAAAGAGTGAATTATTCTAGTCAGCCTACTCAAGCACCAAATTAATTAACTCAAAATACGAAAAAAAGAGAGAAATTAAAATTTAAAAAATAAAAGAAAAGAGAGGTGTCCTGATACCAAGAGGTGATTCAGTCCAATAAAATTTCAAAAATAAATCTGAGATTAGATAGAAAAGAGAGAGAAATAGAAGAGAAACAGTAGAGAAGAAAAAGAAGATGAAGAAGAAGGGAGAAAGAGAAGATAGTTCAATATCTTCCCTCCTTACTCCTCAAATCTTTTATTAATCTAACTTGATAGAACTATTACAATACTGCCCTTAATGGTGCGGCCGGCTCATAAACATGACATAAAAGAAATAAAAAGATGATTAACAGGCCCATATGGACAAGGCCCATTAGCAAACATAACAGATAAGAGAAGATAACAAACACAAGAAGACACTAGGGCCCATTCGGCCCAGTCTCTCTACAAGGGAGAGTGTAGAGAAGATGGGTCGAACGGGTCTTAGTCTTCTTTATTTTATTTGTGTTTTTATTAGTGTGTTATGTGTTTAAGTTAGTAGGCCTTAGTTATTGGGCTAGTTTTCTTTCTCTTTATTGTCCACTAAGTAGTCGCCCTGAGGGCACTCTTGTAATTGTATCTAAAATTTACAATCAGTTTAATAAGTGATTGGGAGACTGAAGAGAGGATTCATACACTCTTCCCTTACTTCCCTTCTCTTCTTCTTCTGAACTCTTTCTTCCTCCATATTCTTCTCCTTTATTTTGGCTTATTTTCAGAATTAGTGCAGGTGTGGTTTACAATTGTATACATCTGAATAATGACACGTCATAATTATGAATCAATGAAAATTGACTCATCTAAGTGTCAACATTCTTGTCTGAATAGAGAGAAGAACAAGAATAATCTTAGAGGTGTCAAGAATGAATGACCCCCACCTCAAAGAGTCTCTTATATATTAAAAGATATGCACAATTACAAGAATGCCCATATAGGGCTGAAAGAGAAAAGAAGAATAAGAAGTATAAGTAATGTACAACAAAGACTATACTAATAAGATACATCAAGTATAAGTAATCTCCACACCCCCCTCAAACTGATGCCTAGACATAAGCATCAGTTTGTCTATAAGAAAGAGATGCCGAACTCTAGTTAGAGCTTTGGTAAAGATATCAGCAATCTGCATGCCCAAGGCTACATGAGGAAGCGATATAGACTCAGTAGTGAAGAGATCTCGGATAAAGTGGCAATCCACCTCGATGTGCTTGGTCCTCTCATGGAAGATAGGGTTAGATGCAATCTTGATAGCACTCGTATTGTCTGCATAGAGAGGAATAGGAGTAGGAAGTGGAATGCCAAGATCCATAAAGAGAGACTGTAACCAAACAATCTCATTGCAAACCGAAGACAAGGCCCTATACTTTGCTTCAGTGGAAGACTTGGAGACCATTTGTTGTTTCTTACACTTCCAAGAGATGAGTGAATCACCCATAAAAACACACCACCCAGAAGTGGACCTACGAGTGTCTGGACAACCAGCCCAATCCACATCAGCATATGCTCTCAACTGAATAGGAGAGGAGGAGGAGAAGAACAGTCCCTGGGAAGTTGTGCTTCTAACATATCGAATGGTGCGATGAACAACAGTCATATGAGGCTGACGAGGAGCAGAAACAAATTGACTAGCAACCTGAACAACATTAGAAATATCAGGCCGGGTCATAGTGAGATAAACGAGGGACCCCACAAGCTGGCGATATAAGGCAGCATCAGGAAGTAATGGACCTTCAGATTTAGATAGCTTAAGATTTAGCTCCATAGGTGTATCAGCATGCTTTTCATCATTAAGACCAGCAAGTTTAACAAGGTCAGAGGCATACTTCTGCTAACAAACAAAATACCCTCGATCACTACGATGTACTTCCAGTCCCAAGAAATATGTGAGAGGGCCCAAGTCCTTCATGTGAAAGGAATAATGAAGTAATAGTTTCAATTAACAAATTCCTTCAGCATCATTCCCAATCAGCATGTCATCAGCATATAGTAGGAGAATGGTAATACCCTGAGGCCGTCACCTAACAAATAAAGAGTGATCAAAAGAACTCTGGCTATATCCAGCAACAACTACAACATCATGAAAGCGATCAAACCATGTCCGGGGAGCTTGTTTTTTACCATATAGAGATTTTTTTAGGTGACATACTAAAGAAGGATCATTGTAGTATCCAGGAGGAGGCTTCATGTAGACCGTCTCCTTCAACAGACCATGAATAAAGGCATTCTTCACATCAAGCAGGCATATGGTCCAAGACTGAGCAACAGATATTGCTAAAAGAACACGGACTGTGGTGATCTTGGCAATAGGAGCAAAGGTTTCTTCATAGTCAATACCATACTCCTGACTATATCCCTAGGCAACTAAATGTGCCTTGTATCAAGAGATTCATCAGATTTCAGCTTAATGTTGTAAACCCAACGACTCCCAACAATGGATGCATCTGGAGGAGCAGGCACAAGATCCCAAGTGTCATTCTCATGTAAAGCATGAATCTCTGCATCCATGGCTTCCTTCCAATGAGGGCTACTATTAGCTTCCTGGTAGGAGCGGGAGGGGGAACATCTGTGGAGGATAGGACAACAGACAAAGAGCTATGGTTTAAAAGAAAACCATAGCAGTGAGGAGGTTTAGATATACGAGTAGAACGACAAAGAGGAACAGGAGTATGAAGAGTGTCTAAAGTAGAGGTATCACTTACAGGAGCAATGGTAGGATGATGATCTGAACCGGGAGGAAGGAGAGTCGTAGGCACAAGGGCTGGAGCACGTAACCGCTTGCGAGAGAAGACGAGAAAGTCCTCAGCAGAAGGAGGTGGAGCATCCTGTGAATCAAAGTTTGGAAAAATAAAAATAGACAGTCTAGCAATTCTAGCAAAAAATGAAATGTGCTCAAGGAAAACAACATTACGTGATATACGAATGCGACGAATAGAGGGATTATAGCAAAGAAATCCTTCGTGGTTAGGACTGTAACCTACAAAGGCACACATGACAAACTGTACAGACAATTTAAAACGTTCACGAGAGGGAAGATGAACAAAACACACACATCCAAAAACATGAAGCATAGATAAATCTGAAGAACGACCAAATAACTTCTGAAAGGGAGACATATTACCAAGAACTGAGGAAGGAATATAGTTGATCAAAAACACAGCTGTACTGGCTGCCTCTACCCAAAAGGAAGGAGGAGTATGGGACTCCTGCAATAATGTCCTCACAACACTAAGGATATGTCCATTCTTGCGCTCGGCCACACCATTCTGCTGAGGAGTATCTGGACAACTTCGTTGCACTTGTATTCCATGGTCCTTCAAATAGGATTAAAAACCTCCATTAATGTATTCTCCCCCTAAATCCGAATGGAGAATATGCACTTGTGATTGAAATTGAACCCGCACCATAGCATGAAACAACTTAAATGTTGGGAACACCTCAGACTTGTGGCGAAGAAAGTATATCCATGTGTACTGAGTACAATCATCAATGAATGACACAAAATATTTGTAACCAAGCCGAGAAGAGACAGAAGCAGTCCAAACATTACTATGTATAAGCTCGAAGGGAGAGGTAGCATGCTCAGATATGTGAGGAAATGGTAAGGTACGACTCTTACTTAAGCAACAAGAAACACAAGGTGTATCAAAGGTGTGCAAGGAAGGAACTTTATTCTTAATAAGGCTTGGATCAAACAAAAATTTTAATTCTTTAGAATGTAAATGACCCAAATGTTTGTGCCATAAGTCCCAAACAATATTTCTATAACTTAAAAAAGAATTAGAAGTGGAGGAACTGAAATAAACTGATGATGCTGCTGTTTGAGGCTTCTCGAACTCCAATGCAAACAAACGACCCAACCTGCACCCCTTCCCTTTCACCTTCCCAGTGTTTTGGTCCTGAATCAAACATCCATCCTGAGAGAAGATGAGAATGTTACCTTCATCAATTAATTGACCAGCAGAAATCAAGTTTGTAGTGAGACTAGGAACAAGAAGGGTGTTGGTAAGAGGGAATGATGCACTAGGTGAAAACTCACCAGGTAAGGTTTTCACCATTGGCAGTAACAATATGTTTGTGATGGGTTTTAGTAAGGTTACTTGGTTGGTATCTCTAGAGTCAATGATCCAAGTATGAGAAGCACAATAACCAGAAAACTCACCAGGTAAGCCAATAGCAGAAAAAGCAAAAGAAATAG